TTCAGCCTTCCCATTTCTCCCCACCCTGAATTTCTTTCTCTTGGCCTCACTGTAAGCAGGCTGTTTTTCCTACAGTGCTAGGGCCCTCAGTCACTCTCTTGAACAATTTATTGTCTCTCCAGCCTTACCAGCATTTCTGACTCCTTCTGTGCTCCTAACCCTCACCCCTGCCTCCTCAAAGGCAGGAGTCAGCAGACTTTCTGTAAAGGGCAAGACTTCAAATTTAGGCTTTGCTGTCCTTTCTTCCCTTGTAGCAAGAAAGCAACCATAGACAATAGGTAAATGAATGGGTGGGACTGTGTTCCAATTAAATTTTATTTATAAAAACTGGCAGCTGGAAAACAAAACAAAACAAAACTGGCAGCTATTCTTTGCCAGCCCCTTCTCTAGAGCATTGTTCTGCCAGGCATCCCTGATTCCCTTCTGGATTTTTAATTTCTTTCCCTATGTCAATTTCTTCTCCATATTCTACGAATATGTTCAAGTATCTGCCTCTCAATGGGAAAATAGCTGAAAGGGGAGAGAGGATGAGTCAAGGGTGAGAGAACACGGAACAGTCTGGGGCTGAACTTGAAGGCGAGAGCAAGAGATTGAAAGTGATTTCAGTGAACGTACATCAGGAGCAAGTCCTCGTAATGATTATATCTAAAGCATTAGAATAATAAGAAACCTGGCTTTTACCTAATTGAAGTAGTTTCCAGGGCCACACCAAAGAGAACCTGGATCACTGAGAATTAGGTTTGACTGGCAGAAATTGGAAAATCCAAAAAAATGATGACTTAAGCAAGATAAGAGTTATTCTTTCTCTAAATAAAAACTGAGAGACACACAGCCCATGGAGGGAACGGTTCTTTCACATTGACAGGGACTCTGGCTCCTTCTGTCCTTTTGCTGTGCCATTTACATCTTCCACTTCCAAGATCACTTCATAATACAAGATGGCGGCTTGAGTTCCAGCAGTCATCTCTGTCTTCGAGCCAACAGGCAGAAGGAAAAGTAAAGAATCACTGAGCACACCTTCCCCCCACAATCCATGGTGTGTGTGTATACGTGCGCTAAGTCACTTCAGTTGTATCCAACTCTTTGCGACCCCATGGACTGTAGCCCACCAGGCTCCTCTGTCCATGGGATTCTCCAGGCAAGAGTACTGGAGTGGGTTGCCATGCCCTCCTCCAGGGGATCTTCCCCACCCAGGTGTCGAACCCACGTCTCTTGTATCTCCTATGCTGGGAGGCAGTTCTTTACCACTAGCGCCACCTGGGAAGCCCCACTCTATGGTGAGCAGCTTCTGTAATGACTGCCAGGTATCCCTGCCTCCCGGCATTCACATCTTTGTATAACCCCTTCTCCTGAGAATGGCCTGGACTTCTTCATTCACTTCTGGGGAAGACCCAGGAGACATGGGTTCAATCCCTGGGTCAGGAAGATCAGTTGGAGAAGGAAATGGCAACCCACTCCAGTATTCTTGCCTGGGAAATCTCACGGACAGAGGAGCCTGGTGGGCTACAGTTCATGGTGTCACAAAAGAGTTGGACATGACTGAGTGACTGAGCCCATGCACACAGAGGAGATAATACAGGAGACGTGGTATAATATTACTTTTAGTCCATGACAAGACGGTGGTTCTGTGTTACGTGCTAGCTTTCTTTTCCCTTGGATGGCTCGCTCTGGGAAAATCCAGCTGCCATGTTGCAAGGCTGTCCTGTGCAGAACCTCATTGGAGGGAATTTGGAAATGGATCTTTTGAGGCCTGCCAATAGCCACAGGAGTGAGCTCAGATGCAAATCCCCCACCACACACACCCTCAGCAGGGTCTTGAGGTGACTGTCGCCCCAGCTTGATACCTTGATACCATGTGATACCTTGATCACATGAGGAAGAACCACCCAGCTAAGTTGCTTCTGAATTCCTAACCTGCAGAAACTTCAAGAAACAAATGTTTCTTGTTTCCAGGTTCGTACTTTGGGATAATTTTTAATGCAGCAATAGATAAAAGATTCCCCTTTGAGAATACTTCCCAAAAGTGCCTTCACCAAGCATGTCTATAGCTGATTGGTCAAAACTTGCTCCACAACCACATACAGTTGCAAGTGGTGCTGGAAAACATAGTCTTTATGCAGAGAGTGGTAAACGCTCAGCCAAAAATTGAGAAGTCTGAGCGAGGAAGGGATACTGAGAACTACTGCCCATCCCTAGAACAATGACAGTGACCAGACATACGGCTTGAGGTGATTACCTTCAATGTAAGTTGTGGAACGGATCACTGGAGAGAGGAATGAGTTGGCCATATTGGCTCAAATGAAACAATCTGGGAGTGGGGTCAGATTCCCAAGGTTCTCAGGGGCTGAGTGGTGAGGGGGCAAACACCTGAACAAAACTGAGGCTCTGGTAGGAAGAAGGAAGGGTGTGTGAATGCTGGGAAGGCGACCAACAGTGTTCTTGCAGACTGAAAACAGTATAAGACAGTGAAAGTTGGTTTTCTTCCTTCTCACTTTGCATAGTCTTCTATGGAGACACAGACAAAAGACTCCGATATCACATTTCGTCCAACAACTCCAGAACTACTTTGTCCAGCCCAGCCCAGACCAGCCCATGAGGCTGAGATGCACACATCCAACTGTCCACTGCCAATGGGGCACAGTCCATCCACAGGTCCCTCTGTCGCAAGAACTTCATCATCAGTGTTAACTCACTAGAGCGGCCATGGTGACAAAGCACAGGTTGGGTAGCTTAAACAACAGACATGTTTTTTTGGGGGACTTCCCTGGCAGTCCAGTGGTTAAGACTCCTCCATGCTTCCACTGCAGGGGATGCAGTTTCAACCCCTGGTTGGGGAACTAAGATCCGGCCTGAAAGTAGAAAAGAAAAACAAAATGTATTTTCTCACTTCTGGAGTCTAGAAGTCCAAGATCAAGGTGTCAGCAGGTTTGGTTTCTGCTGAGACCTCTCTCCTTGACTGGCAGACGGCTACTCCGAACTGTTTTTACAATACCACGTGACCACATGTATGGTTCTGTTTCCATGTGCTCAGTCACTCAGTCATGTCTGACTCCTTGAGACCCCATGGACTTTAGCTCACCAGGCTCCTCTGTCCATGGGCTTCTCCAGGCAAGAATACTGGAGTTGGTTGCCATTTCCTTCTTTGCCCATACCACCAACCAATTCTCCAGCTCTTGAGATACCAGCTGGGTGCCCAACAATTCAATCAATTCTGACACAAACTGCCCAGAGTAGGCACCAGACCGTACAGGTTAGGGCTCAGTCTCACAAGACTGTCCCCTATTTCAGATGCCAATCACCATTCTCAGACTTCCCATATATATATATGAAGGAAATGGCAACCCACTCCAGTATTCTTGCCTGGAGAATCCCGTGGACAGGGGAGCCTGGTGGGCTGCTGTCCATGGGGTTGCACAGAATCGGACACCACTGAAGCAACTTAGAAATATATATATATATATATATTTTTTTTTTTTTCCCTTAATCTTTTGACCGCACCACACAGCATGTGGGGTCTTAGCTCCCTGACCAGGGATCGAACCTGCATTGACAGTGCTGAGTCTTAATACTGGATAGACAGGGGAGTCCCAAGCTTCCCATACTTCTGACAGAGGCTCTAAATTAGGGGTTTCCATGACCTCCTCTTCCAGTTCAACTGTTTGTTAAGATGGCTCACTCAGGAAGGCAGTTTCCTTACTATCCTCCATTATAAAGGACACAAATCAGGAACAGGGGATTGAAGGGACACACGGGGCAGGCAGCATATGGGGGAGGGGCTAAACCTCCCAGCACATTGATGTGTTCCCCAGCCTGGAAGCTCCATAAACCCCATTATTTAGGGTGTATGAAGATTCCTTCATGGAGGAATGATCCATCAAATCAGGCCCCTCCCTTCCTCCCAGAAGTGTGTGGGTAAAGATGTTCCATCTCTCTAATCCCAAGGCTTCCTCCTTTGGTAAGAAGCCTCCATCTTGAAGCTACCCAGGGCGCCCACCAAGAGTCACCTCATTACCATAAACTCCAGTATGACTGAAAGGGGCTTATTATGAATAACAAGACACTCCTCTCACCCCATCACTCAGAAAATTACCAGGATTTTAGGAAGTCTTTGCCATGAAGTGGGGCACGCGTGCTAAGTCACTTCAGTCATGTCCCAGTCTTTGTGACTCCATGGACTGTAGTCTTCCAAGCTCCTCTGTCCGTGGGATTCTCCAGGCAAGAATACTAGAGTGGGTTGCCATTTCTTCTTCCAGGGGATCTTCCTGACCCAGGGATCGAACACACATCTCCTATGTCTCTTGCATTGGCAGGCGGGTACTTTACCAGTAATGCCACATAGGAAGCTCATAAAATGGGGATAAAAGGCCAAATGTATATTTCTTATATCACAACATCACAACCACCTTCTCCCTGTGTACTCACATGATCTGTTTTCTGTATGGTCCAATCACTGCTGTCTCTTCCTCTTCTTATTAAACACCAGTCTTACCAGGAAAATTCCATGAAAATTCCATGATCCTGGTGGGCTACACAGTCCATGGAGTCATAAAGAGTCAGACACGACTGAACCCACTTTCATTCACATACACATACTGGATTAAGGGCCTCATTTTAGCTTAAATACCTCTTTAAACATCTTATCCTTAAATAAGTTACATTCTGAGATACTGGGCATTAGGAGTTTATGAATTTGGGGGTGGGACATAACTGACCTTTAACATCATCTTGCTCTAGAAATCTTCATTCATGCACGCTTCATTCAACAAACTTATACTGGACATAAATAGAAATGGCACTAAAAGTCTGCCCAGAGGTGGAGAATGGTATTAGAGGGCCAAGGACTAAGGCTTGGGGAGTGCAGCATTTTTTTTTTTTTTTAATTTTGGCTGACACACGTAGTGCGAGACCTTAGTTCCCTGACTAGGGATTGAACCTGTGCCCCTGGCAGTGAAAGGGTAGAGTCCTAACCACTGAACCACCAGGGAATTCCACTCAGCATTTTAAAGACAGGAGGGCCCAGAAAAGGAAACTAGCGAGGAGTGAAGGCTGCCCTTTCTGGCAATGTGGATCCTCTCATTCTCTCCTCTGGCTCTTTGGTCCTTCTTCACTTTGAGCCCCGCCCCTGCCTCTTGGGGGGCTTCCCAAGTGGCGCTAATGGTAAAGAACCTGCCTGTTAATGAAGGAGACATAAAAGGACGCAGGATGGATCCCTGGGTCGGGAAGATCCCCTGGAGGAGGGCATGGCAACCCACTCGAGTATTCTTGCCTGGAGAATCCCGTGGACAAAGGAGTCTGGCGGGCTGCATATACATGGGGTCACAAAGAGTCAGACACCATTAAATGCACGTGCACCTCTTTCCCTTGGGACTCCCCATCCCTCCAGGCATGAGGAAAGCCCTTCTGGTGTCATTTCAGTTGGATGTCAGTGCAGCCCTCTTGTGCTTGGGTGTCTACCACTTTCCAAGAGGATGATGCCTGGATGAGGGTAGAAGTGGTGGTTGCCCTGTACTCTTAACAGGAATATAACATCTTAGGTGTTCAGCTTAAACACTGCATCAGCAAAAGCTATAGCTGTTTTGCCCCTCAGTTCCCAAAAGGCAAACTGAGCTTCCCACCACAGAATTCATTTCTTCCAACTCCACACTGTCCAGTCCAGTGAAAAACACAATTTCCGGACTTACCTGGTGGTCCAGTGGCTAAGACTTCAAGTTCCCAATGCAGGGGGCCCAGGTTTGAGCCCTGATCGGGAACTAGATCCCACATGGCCACAACTAAGACCCGGAGCAGCCAAATAAATAAATAAATATCTAAAACAAAGAAACACAATTTCCTCCGATTGATAAGATTTTTGCTCTATTCCCTAAGAAATGATAAAAATTCCTTGGGCTTTTTGTCCCCCAAATGCATTTGCTTTCCTCCTGAGGATTTTTTCCATAAAAATGTTATATGGTAATGCCTCTACCTGAGGTACCAGGGAAGGATAGCACTTTCTGGTGTAAGTCTTCTCTGATTCCCAAATTTCTCCTCTAATCCAGGAAAGGTTTGATTCCTCCTGCCACACTATTGAAACCAGAGAAAGGGTAGGAGATGTGTTCTGATGCTTTCTCTTTGCCCTGCAATGTACAAAGCAAGGCCATTTACAGAGAGTGAAAGAGGAAGGCAAAGAAGTACATAGTTCAGCGGAAAAAAAAAAAAGATTAGCAAGAGTCTTGTGGAGACCAGGAGAGAGAGCTGACCAGAGATGCTGGGTAATGTTCTCAGAAACGTTAGAAGGCCCAGGGAGATGGGTGACCCTGAATTTTAAGCCAGACCAGTCTGCCCATACCACATACGGCTGCCTGGGTACATCACTGCCTCCTCTCCCTGGTTAATAATGCTACTGTCCCCTACCTGGAAACCTCAGCCCCACCAGGAGCCAGCCACTCAACCATCAACTTTATAGATTCAATTGCTTACATATTCCTCACACCCATCCCCTCTACAATGTTCTTTCTTTGTGTAAAACAAATTCTTCATTGGACTCCTACTTCTCTCCTTTCTATTACTCCAGCCAGCTATTACAGTAACTTTTCAGATGCCTTCCAAATTCTCAGAAATTTGGTGATGTCATTCTTTTATTTAAAGACCACCATGGGTTCCCTATCAGAACCCTATCATCCGTGGGTTTTGTTCTAAGGGCAGTGAAAACCACCGGAGGGCTTTGAGCAGTGATGTGATTCAAGTCACATGTTGGAAACATCACTCTGGCTTTTGTGTGGAGAATGGCTTTGACAGGGGGTGGGGGTGGGGTGGGCAAGAGCAGCCGCAGGAAAGACCAGTGAGGACATCTTCTGATGCAGGTGAAGTGCTGGCTGAGACCACATAGCTGGTGGTGGGGATAGAGATACAGGGAGAGATTTCAGATTTATTTTTAAAACAGTATTGTTCAGGGAATTCCCTGGTGGTCCAGTGGTTAGGACTCCATGCTTTCACTGCCATGGGCCCAGGTTCAGTCCTTGGTCGGGGAACTAGGATCCTGCAACCTTCACAGTGCCGCCAAAAAATAAATGAATAAAATAAACTAGAATTGATCACATGGTGGCTAGGTAGTAAAGAATCTGCCTGCCAATGCAGGAGACTCTGGTTCGATCTGGGTCAAGAAGATCCCCTAGAGAAGGAAATGACAACCCACTCTCATATTCTTGACTGGAGAATTCCATAGATAGCGAAGCTGGTGGGCTATGGTCCATGGGGTCCCAGAGAGTCAGGCATCACTGAATGACTAAGCACGCACTTTGGTCTAAGTATGCCAATAGATTGTGTACAGATTCTATGGAAGAGGGGGCCGTTAAGAAAGACCCTTTACTTTCGGAGATTCCCCAAGTCCTTGTCTGGAGAAGGAAATGGCAGCCCACTCCAGTACTCTTGCCTGGAAGATCCCATGGACGGAGGAGCCTGGTAGGCTGCAGTCCATGGGGTTGCGAAGAGTCGGACACGACTGAGCGACTTCACTTTCACTTTTCACTTTCATGCACTGGAGAAGGAAATGGCAACCCACTCCAGTGTTCTTGCCTGGAGAATCCCAGGGACTGGGGAGCCTGGTGGGCTGTGGTCTATGGGGTCGCACAGAGTCGGACACGGCTGAAGAGACTTAGCAGCAGCAGCAGCAGCAAATCCTTGTCTTCTGCACGTCACTCTTCCCCCAAGATGTGTCTCTCAGTCTTGCTGCTGCTCCACAGTCACTGCCAGCTCCTTAAAGGATGTGATTCTTCAAGGCCCATGACCCTCTTCCACTCCAGTTTTATTAGCTCTCTCCGGAAAAGCTCAGTTATCCCTTAGCTTCAACTCTTAACTATATGCTGACATTTTCCAAGTCTGCCTCTCCATTCTCGTTTATCATGTTGCATATCAGTCTTTCTGTCCAAGATAGGTGCCTCATTGAAAATGCCCAAAACAGAACCTATTCTTTGACCCTCCATCATGCCCCACTTTCTGTCCTCTTGATCTCAATGCTTTCACCATCTCTCCAGATATTCCTCAATATCTACTAGAACATCATCCTTATCTTTCTCTCCTTAACCCATATATGCGGTGAGCCAACAAATTCCATGGTCCTTAAATACGTTTCTCATCCAGTGTTTCTAGCCATTTCCAAAGTCACAGGTTTATTTCCATTCTGCATTATCTCTTGCTTGAACTATCTTATCTCCATGAACCACTTTCTCTAGCTTTTCCCTCTGGGTTTCCGTTGCTTACAATTAACATTTCCCAGAGATTGCTCCTCCTGTGGCTTGGTCAAAGTTCAGGTGACGTCACCAGGAACAGTCTCATGTCTCCTCCATGCTCTGCTTCCTCCATGATGACTCTTCCAGGTTCCATTCCCCCTCTGCCGCCAATACTCTGGTCTTTCTCATTCAAGTCAGGAAGTAAGACCTAAAATTGAGCCTCACTGGTTTTGATTGGCCAGATTTGCTTCATGAACCCCATCTTGAAACCGATGATCAGGTTCAAGAGTATAGAATGTTTTTATTGGCTTAAGACTAGGTCACATGTTTCATCCTTGGTAAGGGGCTGGATGTGCCAAGGATTCCCTCAGATGGTTAAGTTAAAAATGGTACTGCTTAATAAAAAAAGGGATACAGGAAGAGGAAATTTGCAGTAGATGGTGATCTGCATCCAGCCTGCCTTCTTGAGATAATGGTACCCTGGTTTTGCCTTGAGGGAACCATTCTTCCCCTACTTTCAACCATGATGCTCTGGATGAAACTTCTTCCAGCCCCTGGGTTAGGAAGATCCCCTGGAGGAGAAAATGGCAGCCCACTCCAGTATTCTTGCCTGGAGAATCCCATGGACAGAGGAGCCTGGCAGGCTGCAGTCCATGGGGTTGCAGAGTCGGACAAGACTGAAGCCACTTAGCACACACACATCTAGAAGAAATATAGCTAAACTACAACCTTTGTGTTCCATGAGCAAAAAATAAAGTATATGTGGCCACATGCCATGAGATTTTAATGTGTTTGTTATGCAGCATAACTTAGAGAAAGCTGAATATTACATACACCTGAGTTCAAGTCCTTATCATTTCTTTTTTTTTTTTTCATTTATTTTTATTAGTTGGAGGCTAATTACTTTACATCATTGCAGTGGTCCTTATCATTTCTACCTGGATCACTGCCAGCATTCCCCACTCCCACTGCAGCATCCTCCCCACCATCCTCCTTGCTGGTCATCTGGGCTCCTCCTGCCCATTCTCCACATTGCAGACACAGATATCTTTCTAAAGAGCATATCTAATCACACGACCTCCCTGCTTACCTCCAAAGCCTCATTTTTCAGATAAAATTCAATCTCCTGGTAATTCCTTGGCAGTCCAGTGGTGAGGACTCCAAGATTCCACTGCTTGGGGCACAGATTCGATCCCTGGTCGGGGAACTAAAATCCCGCAGGCTGAGCACCACTGTAAAAAATGTTAATTTAATTTAAAAATTCAATCTCCAAAAAAAAAAAAAAGGGACTTCCCTGCTGGCCCAGTGGTTAAGACTCTGAGCTCCCAATGCAGGGGACCCAGGTTCGATCCCTTGTCAGGGAACTAGATCCCACATGCTGCAACTAAGACCTGGTGCAGCCAAATAAATGAATAAATATTAAAAAAAATTTCAATCTCCTTTAAGCACATCCCAGTTTTTCAGGAGCTTATCCAGATCTTCAAGCTTATCCCTTCCCCACACAGGCACCCATTCCCCCAGTCTCACTGAATACCAATGAAGTTACTGAATGCAGCATTTTAAGTTAGCAGTATCTTCACCCACCCTGCTGGCTCTGCCAATGTTCTGCTCCTCACTCACCGAGGTGTTGCTTAGTTGTTTATCAAGACCTACCTCTACCCATATCTTCTTTGCCTTTTTTTTTTTTTTTTTGGCTGTGACTTGTGGCTTGCGGGATCTCAGTTCCCCGATCAGGGATTAAACCTGGGCCACGGCAGTGAAAGCACCAAATCCTAACCACCAGACCACCAGGAAACCCCCAGCCATACTTTCTATTATGGAAGCCCCAGCCCACAGTGGCATTAGGTCTCATCTGCATCCTCTGTGCTCCCAGAGCACAGCATGCCCACGTAATCTCACTCCTTCCTGACCCCAGAGTCCCACAAGGTCAAGGACAGGGTCTGGTTTATCTCTGTGTTCCCTGGGCTTGGTGATCCCTGGCACAAAGTGTGTGGTGATACTTGGAAGATGACTCAATAAAAACATGAATACACGTGTAGGATTTTCTGCAACCTATTTCTCCAAATCAGTCAATCTTCTACATTGCTGCCAGAGTTGTCTCCCAATAA